GGTGTAGATGATGCTTGTTGCACACACAGATACTTGGTTGTCAGATTTGATAGCACTGACATAGTGTCCCTCACACTCCACCACCAGGTCACTGGATTCACTGAGGTTAGGGTTGATGGCAGATTTCTGCACAACTGTATCTCTTCCTGAATCTTAACTGTGATTCTCTGGGGTTCAGGGTTCTTATCATCTCCCTAATTCACATTAGAACACAAAACATCAACAATAACATGGTTGTGCTATTATTGCTCAAAAACCATGATCTAGGCTGAGAGATAAAAGCTTAACTGGTCAACAACATCCTTTACAGCTTATTTACCTTCACCATGGAGCCTCCACTGTAGAAAAAGGTAGCAAACTTAAGTTTGTGACTGTCCTGTGGCCCCCAACTTGTTTTTATTTTGTCCTCCTCACATCAGGGTCAGAGCCTCATGTAAGGCGTTGTTGGAAGGTGCTATAGAAATAAAGTTTATTATTATTATTATTATTATTAAGATTAAACAGTGAGAATTAGGTGAACTGTTTAACCAACTGACCGGATGGATGGCACATTTTTACAAGCTAAGATTTATCTGTTACTGTTGATCTTTAGTTAGCTTTTGATTTTAGCTAGCTACATAGATAGCCATAAAATAAAGCTACACACTAATATCTTAAAGTTAGCGTTACATGGATCCTAGTTTAACTCACTGCGATGCACATATTAAGCTGCAGTAGCGTTAACAAATGTGAACTTACCAGCTGAAATCCCAGACACAGCTCCATCCTCGGAACGAAGTGGAGTCCGGTCGTGGAGATTTTGAATTCACATTATAACATTCACAGGCTGACTTTAACGCTGAGGGAGGAGGAAGGGAGGCTGTGGTCCTCTCTCCTTGCAGACAAACAAGGAGCAACTTTCTGCTTGTAAATTGAAGCCATTCGGCACTACACGCGCTGCACACATGAACCCCGTCTGTGGGCGTAACTAGCACCATAGACATACAGCTATACGGCAGCTCTATACAGCTCCAAGGGTGTAAGCACGTAGTCCAGTGTTTCCCCTACAATTATACAAGAGGGGCGCCCCGCCCTGTCAACAGAACCGAGCGCCTCGTCTACCGAACCCCCCACCCCCAAACTACCTGTCGGCACTGATGTAACGTGAAACTAGTGGTTCGCAATGCAGGTGTGCTAGATAAAACGCTAAAGGCAGCCTCGTCCCTCATGCTGAACCCTCACGTTGAACGCACCCCCTCCACTCGAAAACTGTACAACGGTACAAACAGCGCACGGCTCAGATGTGTGTCTGTCTCTCTGACCCCCCCCCCAAAAAAAACTGTCAGTTCAGACAGCACGCAGCTGAGATGCGTCTCTGTCTCGCTCCTCTACCACACCCTGCTCTAAAACTGTTAAAACTCGGTGCAAACAGCACGCGGCTGTCTCTGTGTTCCCCCCCGAAACTGTTGGTTTAAACTGCGCAGCTTAGGACGTATCTCCGTCCATCCAAAATTTATATCTCAGTGATATATCATCTGAACTGAACAAGATTTTGGGTGCGTCATGAACACTTATAGACACATTGGTAATGTTTTGGAACTTTTGACTCCAGTGCGCCCCCTAGATTATTCCAACAGTTATATCTCAGTGAAATATCATCCAATATGTACCAGATTTTATGTGCGTGATCAGTGAGCACATACAGACACATTGATATTGTTCTTTAACATTTGACTCAAGTGCGCCCCCTAGATTATTCCAATAGTTATATCTCAGTGATACATCATCCAATCTGAACCAGAATTTTTGTGCATAATCAGTGACCATGTCTAGACACAATGATATTGTGGTTTAACATTAAGTGCGCCCCCTAGATTATTCCAAAAGTTATATCTCAGTGAAATATCATCCGATCTAGGCCAGAATTTTAGTAAGTAATTACTGAGCACCTATACAAACACTGGTATTGTTGTTTAACTTTTGACTCCAGTGCGCCCCCTATATTCTTCCAACAGTTATATCTCAGTGATACTTGATCCGATCTGAACCTGAGTTTAGGTGCTTCATCGTTGAGCACGTCTAGACACATTGGTATTGTTGATTCATGACATCACTTAAGCCCCGCCTGGTAAAAAAAAAACAAAAAAACTGTTGATTATTGAATGACACTTCCAGCTTCGCACAGTAAGATATTAGACTGAAACTTTGTTCGCTAACTGTTGATTACCACACATGACATGTTGAAAAGAATAAAGGAAGTGCTTGTCAAACATTCGCAACAAAACAGGAAGTCATCATAACTCCTGTCTGGAAGGTCAGGTTTCGTATATACTTGTAATACTTGCCGCTGGACAAGTAACGACATGGACAGAAGGCGATGTCTAAGATTCGGGAAATGCGCCACGTTGTGAACGCGTGCAGGATTGGCACGACTGTTCACGACGGCAACTGGGTGGATTAGCTGGAACTCCCATGGTAGCCGTAAGGCCGGAGAGGCGCTTTGCTGCAAGGGTCTTCAATGCTGCTTGCAGCTTTAATTTGGTTTGAAATTAGTTCATTTCGCTGAAAAGCGACAAGTTTGCAGGTATGCATTCAGAACCAGGGGTGATTCTAGAATTTGACCTTTAGTGGCACAACAAGAAGTAGCCTGACCAACAGCTCTCCTTGTGTGAATAGAGCCTGCCATCACACACGAAAGACTCAAAGACAGTCAGATTACTGAACTCTTGACAACAACATTGCACAAGCCACATCTGTGACAGCTAATATGTTTATTGCTGCTGCACTATGTAGCTGTATCATTTGTCACTACCTTACCATCATAATTCATCTCAGTGTTACCTGTGCAATAACCTGTCACACAGCCTGTAATTTGTTAGTTATGTGCAATATATATAATGTACATTTAAATTAATATTGCTACCTGTAAAATACTTATTTATACTCATTCATCCTACTTGCACCTTTATATTCTACCATGTTGTTATGCCATTGACATAACTGAACATGAACTAACCATTAAATAACACTATGAACTGAACATGAACTAACCATTACATAACACTGTGAACTGAACCATTAAATAACATTGTGAATTGAACATGAACTCTTAAATCTTCATATTTTGTATATTGAGAATAAATGATGGAAGAATAATTAAATTTTCTAGTATATTTATTTGTGTCACAACAATGAGTTTTGTAAACAAGTAGATAATATTGGCAGTGTAAACAAAGACATTAGAAAATGTATTTTAACACAAAATCTGAAATGAATATTGCACAGAAAATGTCAGATTAAAACTGCTTAAAAAACATTGCAAACTTCAATATAAAACAGTGATGACGAAAAAATAAAGATAAGAAAATATAACTAAATGTTCAACTTAAAACAATCACTGCAGTTCACATTAAAACAGGTAAAAAAAAACAGCGTGAACATCAATATATAACAGTGATGAATTAAACGTATAAAAAGTTAACAAATAACTAACTATTACGCTGTAAACAACCACTTCTTTTCCGCTCAAAACTAGTAAACTGGCAGTGTAATCTAGGTAGAGAAAAAAAAGTAACAAAAAATCCCTGATTTTACAACTTTAAACAATCATTTCAGATTAAAACTGGTAATTGGTAAAGTGGCAGTGGAAAAAAAAAAAAAAAAAAAAAATATATATATATATATATATATATATATAATATTATTATTATACTCCTCCGCTTGAACCTTGTCAACATTAGTGGGCATCGTCCAATAGGCTGGAACATCAGTGACGGTTTTGGCCCCCCGTATATGCATGTGCTAGTTCAATTTTAAACAGCAGAGCCCCAATGTGTGTACATGTCATGACTCTGCAATGCCAGCCCAGTGTGCACTGTCCACTTGGCCACTGGAACTGATAATCACCCGTGGCTTGTTTACGCAGAGGTTCACTGAGGCGCTGAAACCTAAGACACAAAATGTGTAAAAATTACTACAGTAATAATAACAAAAATGAAAACAATAAAAAACAAGTTTTTAACAAGTTTAAACAAGTTCTTGTTTTTTTTAACCAGACACAACGTGTCAGTACTGTTTTGTTTAGAGACCACACTGAAAGTAAATGTTATCCAATGTGGTCTAAGTGAAATACGATAATATAATACAACCAGAATATGAATAGTTTTACAGTCTAACATTAGTCGCCATAAACAGCATGTAACAGTAGTGTTTTGAAGGTGCAGTGACCAAACGTGATGCAGTCTTTAGCCTCTGTAGGTTGAGAGACGTGTGTGTATGTGGTGTTCACCTACCTTTGTGAGAACTACGGTTTTCTGGTCATTGACGCTGAAAATCAGCAGATCCTGCACTCATCCATTAGTAAACTGAAGGTGAGACTCGAGAGATTTATAATTCTTGAACTGCTCGAATGTGTAGGCACTCACTCTACAAACAAATATGGAAACGTTAATGGTGGTAGCTCGTTCAAATCATTTGTCCATGCACGGTGTTCGTATGGATCAAGCCCATACCCTTATGTTCGAGATATAACTCTCCTTTGCATCCTTGTGTAGCTTTCAACGTAAGGAGCCTTCTTACACTTGCTCTTCTGATGGTCCATTTCTGTTGCTTGTGTTTTGCTAGTCCTTTAAAATGGTGACCACAACCCAGAATGCAATATGCCATCACATGGTTGCCCATTCTCTATAATAAACAATATAACGTGATGCGATTGGTCAGTTGCTGACAAGCCTACTGGATTGACAGGTCGAGGATCCGACTCGTACAACAACAACAATTATAGATTTTACTGGCCCGTTTAAGACTGTAATCATTTATTCCATATTAATTCCATATTTATTCAATATTTTGGTGAGTAAGGTTTGAGAACTGAGTTTCTTTATAAAATCCTAATAATGATTTCTTTATTTTTCAGGGGTGGAGAATTAAAATGTCGGGGTGCTGGATCACCCCCAAAGTGAGGCTAAAATCGCCCCTGTTTAGAACTGACCGACCAGTACACATGAACCTCTAATACTCACGTGCTCATCAATAATGAAGGCATGTCCCTCTGCTAGCCGGTTCGGGCGGTACCGGTCCCCTTCACTGACGTCATGGCCCACGATCATTAACGCAGAAGGAAACAGGTTCAGGTTTCCAACGTGGTCCGAATGTCCGTGAGTCCCCACCACCACGTTTATGTCCCCGGGTCCCATACCCCTGTCTCCTAATGACTGGAGGAGGAAGTCCCGGTCCCACGGGCCCCCGGTGTCCACCAGAACTGTCCTGGGTCCCGTTAGGAGGGTGATGGTTCCGTCTGCCCTGAACGTCCCATCGCTCTGAGGTAAACAGAAACCCGGTTTCAAGACCGACACGGAGTATGGGAGACCTGGGAACTCTAGCTGGGTCTCAGACAAACACACCCTCTGGTACAGACCAGAACTCACAGTCCTGTCCGGAACTGTCATGTCAAACAATCCAAGCAAGACCACAAAGTTCGCTTCTTCTTTTTCTTCGTGTTGTATTGTTTTATGGCGGTTGGCAGACCAACTTTGAAGGTGCATTACCGCCACCTACTGACCTGGAGTGTGACCAGGAGATGAACAGGGAAAAAACGTAACGCTGTGAACTGACCTGGCCCCCTACTGGAGTAATTATTTTACATAGAAGTACAGCAAGATAGAATCCAACTCTATTACCTTTTGATTCAACCAAACTTGAAATTGGTCAAATCTGCTTCTCCTCAACCCATAACAGCAACCGTCGTACACGTTCACTATTTCAGAAAGATGTTGTGTCAACTCCATATGTGGTACCTTATTGGAACACCTTTATTAATGACCTTAACTGGAAAAGGATTTGGACTTTACATAGCAAAATTGGTCTGGGCCAGCTGTGGCCCACATCTGGCACTTACATCTGGCCCACATGGCTCAATGAATGACGGGCCCCCCATGGCCCAGAGCTGGTTTGCCAGACGTGGCCCACATGCGGCCAGAACTGGGCCAGGTGTGGGCCAAATGAGGACACACCAACTGGCCCATAGCTGGCCCAGATATCGTTTGACCTCTGGCAAACCAGACCCGGACCAGTAGTGGCCCGTCATTCATTGAGACGTGAGCCAGATGTAAGTGCCAGATGTGGGCCACAGCTGGCCCAGAACAATTTTATATGATTTAAAATGTCAATGAAAATACAATAGAAATACAATTCTTTTATTAATACATTTTAAGTTTAAATACAATATATATAAATAAATAAAACATTAATAAATGACATTGATAAATAAAGAAAACACACAACATATATTTATATAAATAAAACTATAGT